ATCAACAGGAGAGGACTCTTTAAAGTAGAGACACTACATACTGATATACACCTGAACATCAGCAGGAGAGACTCTTTAAAGTAGAGACACTACATACTGATATCACCTGAACATCAGCAGGAGAGGACTCTTTAAAGTAGGACACTACATACTGATATACACCTGAACATCAGCAGGAGAGGACTCTTTAAAGTAGGACACTACATACTGATATACACCTGAACATCAGCAGGAGAGGACTCTTTAAAGTAGAGACACTATACTGATATACACCTGAACATCAGCAGGAGAGACTCTTTAAAGTAGAGACACTACATACTGATATACACCTGAACATCAGCAGGAGAGGACTCTTTAAAGTAGAGACACTACATACTGATATACACCTGAACATCAGCAGGAGAGGACTCTTTAAAGTAGAGACACTACATACTGATATACACCTGAACATCAGCAGGAGAGGACTCTTTAAAGTAGAGACACTACATACTGTATACACCTGAACATCAGCAGGAGAGGACTCTTTAAAGTAGAGACACTACATCACCAGAACATCAGCAGGAGAGGACTCTTTAAAGTAGAGACCACTCCATCTGAATACACCTGACAATCAGAGGAGAGGGACTCTTTAAAAGTAGAGACCACTACTATACGATATACACCTGAACATCAGCAGGAGAGGACTCTTTAAAGTAGTGAGACACTACATACTTTGATATACACCCGGAACACAGCAGGGAGGACTCTTAAAGTAGAGCACTACTACTGATATACACCTGAACATCAGCAGGAGAGGACTCTTTAAAGTAGAGACACTACATACTGATATACACCAGAAAGTGAGCATGTCGTCTTTGAACTATTGACAATTAATAGGAAATATTAGCATTTTATTAGCTAGCTAACAAAGGACCGTGCAAAATATTACCTAAAAACACCCAATTGGTATCAACATACAGAATCAAATGTGTTATTATTATGGTCAAAGTAAAGTTTTGGTGACAATGAAACTTTCACATTTATTTTTTCTGTCGTCTTTACTTGACTCTTTAATATTGGTGCTGTATCTTCTATTTCAAAATATGCGCATATATCAACTTGCCTTTTCCCAATACTACAGTATTTAAATGTGAAAGGTTGGTAGACGTAGCGTTTGACATGCTGCTGAAGCTGTGATCAGTGTGTGCTCAGAGAGGCCGGAGGACATGCTCAGGGATTCGCTCTAATTAATACCATTTCATTTCAGATCAAAGAGGGAGTCCAACATGTGGTCGCGTCCTCCCCCCATCCTCCAGTCCTCTCTGTGATTTCATGCCGACATCACTTCCCTCCGCTCCTGATTCCTTCTCTTCATTGATCCATCCACTGCTCTCCCACCCCTCCTCCATCACCCTCACTCTTCACATCACTCACAATTTTCCCCCCTCTTCATGCCTCTATTTCTTCTCCAATTTCATCATCCTTTCCACATTTCTTACTCTCCACCAACTCTTACGGCCCGTCTACACTACAGGCGTAATAAAATGCTTTCAACGCTTCGCCCATTCATTTAAATGGGGTGACGTAGGATATTTTCAAACTTCGCCGAACTGCATTGTGGGTAGCATGGCAAGGCGTTGCAAGCATCGCGAGCGTCTATCGGCGTCAAAAGTTGAACAATGTTCAACTTTTGAGGCTCGATGCTTGCTCGAAGCTGGCGTCAGCCAATCAAATCCCGTTTTTGCAATTCCCGCCAGTACAAGCGCTAGCCAATCAAACCGCGTGCAAGCTGGGAGAGCCAGACCGCAGTTCATTTCCTCATATTCAAAACGAGAAATTACGGTAGCAAATCACCCGGTTCTTTCCGACCAGAACTATTTACCGGGATACAAACTGGAGGAGCGAGGCATGGAGGGAGGTGGCAGAGACAGTGGAGGAACCAGGCATGGGGAGGGAGGTGGCAGAGACAGTGGGTGAAGCTGGTAGGTTTTCGCCTGTTTGGGGATTTTATATCCAGTTTACTTCGTTTTAACATTGCTATTGCTTTGTATGTCGGGGGCGGGAGATTCATGTGATTGGTTGTTGGTCGCGTTGCTCGCAAAAAATCGCCAAGCTTCAGACACGCCCAGCTTCAAGATTTTTTGATGCCTGTAGTGTAGACGGGCCGTTACTCTAGTCCTCCCTTCCTTCCTCCTCACTGTTCCCCTCCCCACTGATGCTCTCACATCAAAAGACAACCATAATATCATAAAATCATCTGTGGTGAAGCAATCTTGATTAGTTAATCCGGGAAAATGCATGCGAGGGAATTCTTGTCCATCATTGTGTGTCAATACATTTGTTTTATTGAGAGTAGAAGGTATTTTTTAAGTCTAGTGGAACAAAATAAGTACGTGTGATGGCTGAACAACCTTTAGATTAACCTGTTAAGCCCCAAGGTCCCCCTCGGCAGGTCCTTTTTTTTTTCACGACACAGTGTCTCAGGGGATCTTAATATTTAAGAACCTATTAATGTGTAGCACCAGATTAACGGGAATAATCTCAGCTAACTGACGATACAAACAATTTTTACCAAAACAAAACACAAGTCTCACAAGAAGCATCTAAATGACCCCTGAGTGAAAAATGCTAACGCACTTTGGCACAGAACTCAAGATAAAATATATCATTATTACTTATCGTAGCTGCACATACAAGATATCCGATTAAAGCTGAGGTTCCACAGATTATTTCAGTATATAGTATCATCACTGAGTGATCCGAACTCGCGACAGGGGAAGCAAACACAGACATCACAACACGTACCTTTACGGAGCTTTTACGGGAGATCGTCTCACCGTAGCTGTCAATCTGATCAAAAGACGTGTTCAATGGCATTAAAACAAGAAAAAACGCGGCTGAATCGGTTAATCCATAAATTGATAATGTTTCTGTGGAATAATTGTTTTTAATTTATAATCCATAATTCCATTGTATGTAAAAATCGGAGAGTAAAAGTTAGCTGCTAATGGTAGCCACCAGAGTTATTGCAGCTTCCGGTCTTGGCTATACGGCAGTCTCACACACACACATGACCAAATAAGGAGTATGTGGGAGTTCCCCTCGATTCCATTGGCTCTGACGGTTAGAAAGAGATGTCAATCAGCAAAATCGAGCAAGGGGGGCCAGAGATATGGAAAATCCACCCAAATGACCCCAGAAGTGTTTTTTTTGTGCTAAATCTCTCTAAAAAGGTCAATTTTCACTTGTTTTGCATCAATCTTGATACAGAGTACTTATTATATGTTGTCGTTTGGATTCCTAAAGCTTTTAGTCTACCATCCCATCATTCAAGGGTGGTTTTATAAGTAATTTTTTTTTTTTGGACGGACACAATAATTTAAATTGTTTTACTGTGTTCAATCTGAATTTACTTTAAAATAAAAATATCTATATTGATTCTGACACATCTACATCCAACTCACAGATGTAACCTTGCTTTGAGAAAAAAGATTATTAATGTAACCCTTTTAGAAGTGAAGATATGGTCATTTGTTCTGGGAATGTCATTTTCGAGCCTGAGACCTGAAAAACAGGCTCGGGGCTTAAACTGCATGTCAAACACAAGTACACGATAGCATAAGCAGATACGATGCAGATAGAAGAACGTTCTCTTCATTAATCGTGATGTGATGTTAAATATTTGATCTCTTCTTTGTGTCTTAAGTCCTTCTTAGATGTTGCAAATGGAGCTGCTGTAACATTTCAGACTTGACCTGACAACTAATTAGTATTGTATCATATAGTAGAGAGGGTCCTTCTAGACATCACCCCAAACTATCTAAGGCATAGCAGGGTTCATGCATTGCTTTCTATGGTAGTTTATTTAACTTGTATTTTTCTCTACTTTTCCCGGTATTTTCTATACTGTGTTACTGGTGCTCTCTACATGCCTCTGCACACTTCCCCCAGGGACAAACCAAGTACTTTGAATAACATTTGAATTGAATATACTCGCTCAGGGCTAGAGAGTGATGGCTTCTGCGGAGAGGAGATGATTTACGACGGCACAGCCTGAGATAGGTCAAAACATCATTTAACATGGGCTCCAATGGGAACGCACACAGCTTTAATGCGTATTGGAAACTGGATTGGTGTTGGTGTGCCTGTTTGCAAATGTTTCCGCGTCACTGAGAATAATGAGTAGAGTGACAGATGCATGACTGATGCTCAGCGAGAAAGGGGGGATGAAATGCAGGTAGGAAGAGTATTAATGAAGGGAGTCTGGAGGTGGGAGAGATAAAAGGAAAGAGAGTGAGGCAGAGAGGGGTGAAGGACGAAGGGAAGGAACAGTTAGCAAGGATTGATAGATGGCAGGAACAGATAAGGAAGATAGGGTGGCAAGGAAGGATGAGTGACAGATTTGGAGGGTAATGGAAGAAGAAATAAAGGGGTGAGGAGAGACTTAGCTTGTGTCTGAATCTGAAGGCAGGCAATTAAAAGTGTAATAAAAAGACACGGCAGCCCCCGGGTTGAGGAAGCAACCGGGACTGGCAGTCACGCTGCACACTACACACACACACACACACACACACACACACACACACACACACACACACACACACACACACACACACACACACACACACACACACACACACACACACACACACACACACACACACACACACACACACACACACACACACACACACACACACACACACACACACACACACACACACACGCACGCCGTCTCTCTGACAGACTGAGAATGATATATACTAGAGGAACACACAGTATGAGCACCTGATATACGGAAACAGTAGCTAAAGGATTGGAATTCAAAAGTGTTAACAGAACAAAAGGATCCTTCTGCAGGGTTTTTAGCTCAGTGTGTGTGTGTGTGTGTGTGTGTATGTGTGTGTGTGTGTGTGTGTGTGTGTGTGTGTGTGTGTGTGTGTGTGTGTGTGTGTGTGTGTGAGTCGCCTGGCTGCACAAAGCAAGCCCTACTTTGTGTACAGTGTACGAGTGTGACTTACAATGATCAGCAGGATGAAGTAGATGAAGTTGTAGAAGGAGTGAGCATCCATCACATAGTACATGATCTCCACCCAGCCCTCCAGAGTGATCACCTGCAGTCGAGAGGAAAGGTGAACAGTGAATCCACAAAATGCCTTCATGGGGGTGCCTTGCTCCTGTTAAAGGAACAGTTTGGGAACATGCGTGTCCTTGCTATTGCCCAAGTGTTAATTGTGTCAAAATAACTCAAAATGTGTTTTTTCTAACTCAGAATATGTTGCCTGTTTTAAAGGGAAGTCTTGTTCATAACCAATAAGCTGGTATTTTGACTCTAATATGTTAATGAACAACTAGTTGATGGTGAGTATGTGTACCTTAGTCTAAAGTGTTATCAAACACGAATGTCTCACCTGAAAGATGACGATCCAGGCGAAGCAGATGTTGTCGAAGTTGATGGCTCCTTTGTGAGGGTTGCTGAGCCCCGTGTGGCAGCGGGTGTAGTACTGGTTCCAGTTCACACAGAGCCCGCCCACGCTGACGCTCCCATTGGCTAGCGGCTCGGGGCTGAGGCCCAGCGACTGGCGGTACAGAGCGTCGTCTTTATCCAGGCAGCACGTCCGTCCGCCCTCACGCCGCGCCGGGACGTCTGAGCAGGACATGATGCCATTATCGATGGGCAGCGAGCAGATGAAGGGCCGCTCGTCATCCTCATCGGCACTGTAGTAGGGCCGGGGGAGGCTGATGCCCTGGGGCTGGGGGGGGGGAGAGAAAGAGGTGAGTACAGTACCGAACTAAAGTTGCTTTAAAAACAACAATGGAGTAACTGTAGGAAATGAATTCAACTAGGTAAATGGGAAGAACCAGAAGAGCAAGGTTCATCCTGAAGTGAGAAACAAAGGCAGTTTTTTGTGAACAGAGCTTGAAGGCATCATCATTTGACTCAACCTCTGTGGCTAAATTAATTAGCCGAGGGCAAAACAATTATCACAATAATGGTTTTGATTATCTCCATTTTAAAGGTCTCCTAGTATACTATTTGTAGGCATATATATTATAGGTCTCAGATATATGAAAAACATGTCTTTGAAGTGTTTTGCTCAAAATACCAAACAGATCACCCATTTATAGCCATGCCTCATATCCCTCTATTTCAGCCCTGTTAGAGAAGTGCTGATTCTGGGTCTGTAGCTTTTGCTTTAAAAACAACAATGAAGTAACTGTAAGAAACGAATTAGAAAGGTCCATCCTGAAGTGAGAAACAGAAGGCAGTTGTTGTGTTTCATAATCTAATATTGATTGGCAATGCATCTGGTGTGCATCCAATGTGTCACTTATTTAATCCTCAATCAGTAAAATACTGAAATCACATTTGAAGCCAGAGGCCATGAATAGAGTTATGCAATGTGTGTGGGCATTAATGCTATTTCTCTTTGGAGATTCCACGCAGAATAAAGCCACTCGTCCTTCATGGCTGAACATTCGTGTGGCGTGAGATCAAAACTGAAAGCAGAAAATATAATGATGCAGTCAGATGAGAGGACTGAGAGGGATGATTATGTTTGTAATGGATTGGAAGACATTGACAGCAGGGACACAGAGAGGCAGACAGGTAGTGATGTGACGTGTTAACCATGATAATAATAAAGCTTTATTTAAATACCGTGACACATGTCTGATGGGGTTTTCCACAGAAACCATTGCCTGTGTCTTCGGTGCTGTGTCTGCCGTTGTTGGCTTTATGCTACACATATACTGCATGTCACCGTCACTCAGAGACAGCTGTCTTGTTGGATGCTCAGTGAAGCAAATCTAATGTGGCATCTACTTAATTCTACCCCTTTTTCTTCTTCTACAAACAGCCTTAGTAAAGCAAACTGTCGATCAAATTAAAGGTTGAAAAACACTCTACAGTTATAATAAAACCAACTAGGTGTTCAGTGTGTTGTGCTTGCATTACGTGAACATCTTCAGACTACTGACATGTGTGTATCAGCTCTCTCAGCGGCTAATAACAGAAATGTAGACCAGTGGTATTTCTCGAAGGTGAAGTGCAGCCAGAGGAGAGGAAGCTGGATCAGCCGGTCCTGCCAACGTTATATATTTGCAGTTGACAAGCTTTAAGAGAGGCGGACAGAGAAGTAGGACAAAAGCAGCGTATGAACACTTTGCTCAATGAGTTCCAGTGAGAGCTGTATGCGCTCAAAGATGTTAAAGGTGCCCTCTTGTGCTTTTTGGTCTCAGAGGCTAAAATCCCTGAGTTCCTTCCAGAGGGAGTTTCTCTCCCTGCCTGAAACGCCTCCACTGGACTCCTTTGTTTACTTCTGTATTTGAGTGAAATCACAATGTAAAACTCAAGCTTCTATTGGCTAACGCTCCAACACGTGGTTAAGGGGTGGGGGGGGGACATCTCTAAGAGGTTGACCAATCAGAGCAGACTGGGCTCTGGTTTCAGACAGAGGGTGAAAAGAGGTTCTGCAGCTTCTGGAGCTTTTTGAACATTAAAGCATGGAGACATGTCAGAGTAGAGACACTACATACTGATACCTGAACATCAGCAGGAGAGGACTCTTTAAAGTAGAGACACTACATACTGATATACACCTGAACATCAGCAGGAGAGGACTCTTTAAAGTAAGGACAACTAACATACTGATAGACACCTGACATCAGCAGGAGAGGAATCGTGAAGTAGAGACACTACTACTGATAGACAACTGAACATCACAGGAGAGGACTCTTTAAAGTAGAGACACTACATACTGATATACAACCTGAACATCAGCAGGAGAGGGACTCTTGAAAAGTAGAGACAGCTACATACTGATATAACCTGAACATCAGCAGGAGAGGACTCTTTAAAGTAGAGACACTACATACTGATATACCCTGAACATCAGCAGGAGAGGAACTCTTTAAAGTAGAGACACTACATACTGATATACACCTGAACCATCAGCAGAGAGGACTCTTTAAAGTAGAGACACTACATACTGATATACACCTGAACATCAGCAGGAGAGGACTCTTTAAAGTAGAGACACTACATACTGATATACACCTGAACATCAGCAGGAGAGGACTCTTTAAAGTAGAGACACTACATACTGATATACACCGGAACATCAGCAGGAGAGGACTCTTTACAGTAGAGACACTACATACTGATATACACCTGAACATCAGCAGGAGAGGACTCTTTAAAGTAGAGACACTACATACTGATATACACCTGAACATCAGCAGGAGAGGACTCTTTAAAGTAGAGACACTACACACTGATATACACCTGAACATCAGCAGGAGATGACTCTTTAAAGTAGAGACACTACATACTGATATACACCTGACCATCAGCAGGAGGACTCTTAAAGTAGAGACACTACATACTGATATACACCTGAACATCAGCAGGAGAGGACTCTTTAAAGTAGAGACACTACATACTGATATACACCTGAACATCATACACCTGAACATCAGCAGGGAGGACTTTAAGTAGAGACGCTACATACTGATATTAAACCGAACATCGCAGGAAGGACTCTTTCAAGTAGAGACACTACATCACTGATATACACCTGAAACTCAGCAGGAGAGGACTCTTTAAAGTAGAGTACACTACATACTGATATACACCTGCCATTCAGCAGGAGAGGCACTCTTTAAGTAGAGGACATCTACATACTGATATACACCTGAACATCAGCAGGAGCGGCACTCTTTTAAGTAGAGGACATCTACATTACTCGATATACACTCTTGAAACATCAGCAGGAGAGGAGGACTCTTTAAAGTAGAAGACACTACATACTGCTATTACACCCTGAACATTCAGCAGGAGAGGACTCTTTAAGTAGAGACACTACATACTGCCTCATACACCTTGAACATCGAGCAGGCGAGGACTCTTTAAAGTAGGAGACACTACATACTGACTATACACCTGCACATCAGCAGGAGAGCACTCTTTAAAGTAGAGACTCTACATACTGATATACACCTGAACATCAGCAGGGAGAGCACTCTTTAAAGTAGAGACTCTACATACTGATATACCACCTGAAACATCAGCAGGAGAGGACTCTTTAGAGTAGAGCACTACATACTGATATACACCTGAACATCAGCAGGAGAGGACTCTTTAAAAGTCAGGACGACAAAGAAAAAAACGATATGATTGGAAATACATAAATATACGCTCTAAAGGGGGGATTGATGTGAAATGCCAAATTTAGAAATGGTAAGGGTAGGAAAAACACATCAGCAGACAAATAAAAGGAAGCACAACAATGAAACTAAATCCTAATTGGCTAAAGAGAAGGCAGCAGAAGGCATGAATACAAACAAGAGTAATATGTGAGTCTGAGCAGGAGGACTTGTTGTCCTTGCCTTTACAAAAAGAGCAAGGCAGGCTCTGAAGACGGAGAAGAGATGTGTGATCGCTCTCTGATCCGAGAGGCTGCTATTTAAAGGGCAGAGCGGAGAAAAGGATCCAGATAATCGCAGACATTAGCTAGCAATAATACCTGACCTGGTATTTGAGAGAAGCTGTGAGTACTTCCCTGTCTCTCACTGCGTCTACGGCTCAGTTTCTCTGCTCTTCTGAATAAAAGCTATTATCAAGCCTTCTGACATGAGGAGAGACAACTTTTTTTGCTCTGGATAATTCTGGCCAGGTCTCTATTTTCTCATCTTTTACCCATTTGATCACCTTATGAACTGTACCCAAATGTCAAAGAAAAGCATTTTGATTTGAATTTAATTACAACAAAGTTAGAGATGTCACCATTTCTGTTAGTGTTTGGTTCGGCCAGTCCATTAAGGTTTTTGAAATAACATTTCTTGTTGTATATTAAAAAGGTTTGCTCTTCTGTCTGCACCACACAGAGAGGTATGCAAGGGTATTCATTTGGCATTCAAACAGCAATATAACAGCACTTTAAATGCTATTAAATAACCACAATAACAACAAATGTTATATAGTAAATTACTTAAGTCGTAACAAGAAAAGTGTGAATAAAGCATTTTTTTTCCAGCTGAAAACTCAATGCTGATTGGTTTGGATCATTCCAGAGGTTGTTCATTTTCGCTAACAGACCGTTGCTATGGAGAACAGACCGTTGCTAAGGAGCATTGAAGAACTACAGTATGTGAATTCATATCAATCCGCAGAAACAAACTGTAGTTTTCTAACTGTCCCCAGTAAAGACAAGAAGAACAAGGGAAGAAAATACATTACAAGACAGCGTCTGTTCTTCTTTCCAACGGTCTGTTAACAAAAATTAACAACCTCTGAAATGTCAAAAATCTGAATAGAGTATTCAACCAAGCTGTGTAATAAGATATGCTAATGTTAACATTTAAACTGAAGAATACAGCGATCAGTTTTTAATAGGGAATAAGAGGACAAGTTACTGAAATCAGAGTCCTACCATCCTTTGCAAACTATTATGGGGCTATGTAACCCATGTGACTTCTGCCATTGTCTCATGAGTGTCCACCCACTTATTCGACTCTTTTTGCCTCCCAAAACCCATCCGCTAACCACCCCTCTGCACCCGCCCGAGCCCAAACCAGCAGATTTCACAGCTCAGCTCATTATCAGATCGGCTGTGTGTTTCCTGTAAAACGAGGTGATTATGCTCCCCAGCAGAGAGTCAGACAGAAAGCAGTCATTTCACACCTGAGCAGACGTTGGACTCCTGACAGCACTACAGGTTTGGGATGTTTAACTCCAGCTTTTTGTTCCTGGAGAGCATCTGCGGTCAGATTTACAAGCGTCACATATCAGCTTTGTGGTAAAAAACAAGCTTATGTGCATGTTTTTACAACATTGGACGACAGGAATTAGTTATCTCAGGTGGGTCAGGGCATCCCGTGATTACATCCCTCTCATCTCGGAATTGGTTGCCATGGAAAAGCCTCTCATCAGATCATTATTTCCTCTCTGGGCTCAGCCGTGTGGACTGGACTAATCAAATGCTTGGCCGCTCTCCAATCGACCCAATCCCAGTTATTGTCTGAGCTCTGTGTTTTCACTATAAGCTCTTAATTATAGAGATATTTGGAAACAAACAAGAACTGATCCAGCTCCTGATCCTGAGCCCATGGATAGAGTCGTCATTATTCAATATACTGACGTTCAAGATCAGAAATCACTTTTGTTTTTGTTACAACTGAACAAATGCCCTGCACAATAATAAACTATCTTGGATGCTCAGGTGAGACGATAATAGAGATGAGATGAGATGCGATCAAAACAACAACATCAATAGGAAATCCTTGTTATTCTTACTAATCTCTTCCTGTCTCATCTCATCAGTTATCTGAGGTGTGAAGGTGTAGCAACACTGGTTTCCTGGAAATATGTGAGTGTGAATTCAGAGGAATATTCCTAGAAAGCAGATATTATAGAGAAGTGGGAACCGTGTTTGATTAGTGCACTTCCAAGTAATTGATTCAAGTTAATTGCTAAGATAGCGTACAGTACTATGACCTAGAATCGTCTATTGACTGCACAGCATGGTATGCAATGTACTCATTTAATCTTTAAGCGAACATGCAATTCATCATTTACTGTATGTGGGATGTACGGTATTTCCACATGGAGCAGTTTCTTCAAGGAAGTTCCAACAAGTGCTTCAACACAACTTGCCAACACTTAAATGATTGTCTTGATCTTCTGTATTGTTCGTAACAAATTACATTGAGGATAAGGAAGTTGCAGGCTGCTAGTTAAGTCCCCTATGATAATATTGAACTGTCCCTTGCCTATCCAAAGATCGCTTCATGTAATTGACTTCCTGTTATGCTTGGTAGGGGTTTTGCAGAGGACTCAATAAAGTAAGGAGGTGATCAGATGAGGATTTCTCGAACAGCTTGGTCTGGAACGAGCATGCCATCTACACTAGCCATTGAACATGTATAAAATACAGGCAAGACTGGATTGGATCAATGGGTGGCAGCAGTCCAGTATTCATTTGTAACACTTCCATTATTAAGGTCTGTTCTTATAAATACCTTAGTGTGCACATCGAGAACTCTCCTTCTTCGGAGCTAATTTGGCAAGTCTTTGTTCTACAGCCTAAAGGCCCTGACACACCAAGCAGTCACCAGAGAACTCGCCGACGCCAACTGTTGCGTCGGCGTGTTCGCCTGCGTCTTGGCCATGTGTCGCACTGGAACACACCGCAAAGACTTCAGCCGAGCACGTACGAACTGCGCATGCGTGAGCGGCAATAACTCTCCTTACCAGCAGGCGGCGGTAGTGTGTGTTCGTCATTCAAAAGAGGCAACAACCGGAAGACAGAGAAGAAGAACAGACTGCGTGATATAAACAAACAACAAATATCGTGTGCGTTCCATTTTCACTCTCGTCCATCGAAAACATGTTTCGTGCGGCACTGGAGCTATCAGCCATTGGAGTGTTGCTTGTGGAAGACATTCTCAAGCAACCGTTTCACTTCTCATGCACTGATTCGCTAGCTGAACAGCCAATAAGAGTGATTTCTTTGTCCGACTGCCTGTGGCCGACGCACGGCCGATTCAACATGTTGAATCGGCCGTGCGTCGGCCATGAAAGGGCAAATAAGGCGTGTCACGGCCGACGGTGCGGGACACACCAAATTGAGTTTGGGCGACAGGGCACGCCTCGTCGTCCGACTAACGAAAACGGACGATTTCGGCCTGGTGTGTCAGGGCCTTAAAGCAGAGAGGACTTTATAAACAAGGCTTAGACTCCATGGTGTAGACAAGAGACATTTCATCGGTTTATTTTAGAGTTTAATCTGGTACGGTGTTATCTATAGAGAATTGTAATGTTGTAGTTTGTAAAACTATTTCAAAACCTGACTTAGTCAATTTAAATGTTCTTGAGATTTGAAAAAAACTTCTTGAACTGCAGTTTTGGTGTAAAAAGGAATAAGCCTTACTGCACATCACATTATATTTATGAAGTAGTCTTGAAAAGGAACTGTGCGCTTTGTGGAGTGTGAGAATATAATCCAAACCAGCTGTGTGAAATCTCCAAAAGATGCACAATTTAACGGTTAGAAGTTGAAGGATATTGACGTCTGATAGACAGATGTTGCTTCTGCTGCTGTGCACAAACACAAAAACACCCAAACAACTGAGCGGCACAAACAGAGAGTGGATGCAGTCTTTTGATTCTGAAGCGACATGACAGAAGAGTAATTGAATTTCTGACACTTCCACCAAAAATAAACAGCCCACAGCCACAGAGATACACAACATTATTATATGAAAAGGCCACGAATTACTACGGCAACAATAACGGCCCCCACATGCAGAAAAACAAGATTTCACCCCAAAGAAAGGGAAAGAGGACACATAACAAAAAGTGCCTCCTGTTAAACTGATATAGACCTGAACATCAGCAGGAGAGGACTCTTTAAAGTACAGACACTACATACTGATATACACCTGAACATCAGCAGGAGAGGACTCTTTAAAGTAGAGACATCAGCAGGAGAGGACTCTTTAAAGTAGAGACACTACATACTGATATACACCTGAACATCAGCAGGAGAGGACTCTTTAAAGTAGAGACACTACATACTGATATACACCTGAACATCAGCAGGAGAGGACTCTTTAAAGTAGATACACTACATACTGATATACACCTAAAACATCAGCAGGAGAGGACTCTTTAAAGTAGAGACACTACATACTGATATACACCTGAACATCAGCAGGAGAGGACTCTTTAAAGTAGAGACACTACATACTGATATACACCTGAACATCAGCAGGAGAGGACTCTTTAAAGTAGAGACACTACATACTGATATACACCCTGAACATCAGCAGGAGAGGACTCTTTAAAGTAGAGACACTACATACTGATATACACCTGAACATCAGCAGGAGAGGACTCTTTAAAGTAGAGACACTACATACTGATATACACCTGAACATCAGCAGGAGAGGACTCTTTAAAGTAGAGACACTACATACTGATATACACCTGAACATCAGCAGGAGAGGACTCTTTAAAGTAGAGACTCTACATACTGATATACACCTGAACATCAGCAGGAGAGGACTCTTTAAAGTACATACACTACATACTGATATACACCTGAACATCAGCAGGAGAGGACTCTTTAAAGTAGAGACTCTACATACTGATATACACCTGAACATCAGCAGGAGAGGACTCTTTAAAGTAGAGACACCACATACTGATATACACCAGAACATCAGCAGGAGAGGACTCTTTAAAGTAGAGACACTACATACTGATATACACATGAACATCAGCAGGAGAGGACTCTTTAAAGTACATACACTACATACTGATATACACCTGAACATCAGCAGGAGAGGACTCTTTAAAGTAGAGACTCTACATACTGATATACACCTGAACATCAGCAGGAGAGGACTCTTTAAAGTAGAGACACTACATACTGATATACACCTGAACATCAGCAGGAGAGGACTCTTTAAAGTAGAGACTCTACATACTGATATACACCTGAACATCAGCAGGAGAGGACTCTTTAAAGTAGAGACACTACATACTGATATACACCAGAACATCAGCAGGAGAGGACTCTTTAAAGTAGAGACACTACATACTGATATACACATGAACATCAGCAGGAGAGGACTCTTTAAAGTACATACACTACATACTGATATACACCTGAACATCAGCAGGAGAGGACTCTTTAAAGTAGAGACTCTACATACTGATATACACCTGAACATCAGCAGGAGAGGACTCTTTAAAGTAGAGACACTACATACTGATATACGCCTGAACATCAGCAGGAGAGGACTCTTTAAAGTAGAGACTCTACATACTGATATACACCTGAACATCAGCAGGAGAGGACTCTTTAAAGTAGAGACACTACATACTGATATACACCAGAACATCAGCAGGAGAGGACTCTTTAAAGTAGAGACACTACATACTGATATACACATGAACATCAGCAGGAGAGGACTCTTTAAAGTACATACACTACATACTGATATACACCTGAACATCAGCAGGAGAGGACTCTTTAAAGTAGATACACTACATACTGATATACACCTGAACATCAGCAGGAGAGGACTCTTTAAAGTAGAGACTCTACATACTGATATACATCTGAATACAATACACCTGCTTTTTTATTATTAGTATCGTAAAACGTACACCTTCAAACCCCAGCAAGGGTTTTAAGAGTGTGTGACTCAAACATGTGCATCCCTGTAAGTGTGTGTTTTAGGGAATTGGGTGAAAAAGAGGATGAGATGTGACGGTGTGTCTGCGGGGGGTGATTCACTAAATACACACTGACTTTACTAATGTGAACGATGATGAGAACATGATACGAAGGAAGAGTTAAGACGATCATGAATAGCACCCAAAAAGCTCATGCTCTCTGATGAGACAACAGGGGGCGGATTAGGTTTAATTTAGTCATAAATGTTTTGTTCCCATAGCACAGTTTGGGGTGTGGGCTTTGACGTAGGACATTTTAAAAAGTCCCTTATTCCAGGGGGAGTCCTTTGGTTTACAAAAAGCAACTGTTATACAAACAAAAAGTGAACATGTGAACTTAGTGACTTGGACATTGGGCTTCTGTTTACATCCTGTTTCCAATCTAAGCGTTGTCTCTTTTGAACCCTAACCACAAGCATTTCTTAACCTTTACAAATCATTATTTTAAACCCCAACTGCAATCTGAAGCTTCACCACTCTATTGGACACACACACACACACACACACACACACACACACACACACACACACACACACACACACACACACAAACACACACACACACACACACACACACACACACACACACACACACTCACACACACATACAATCATGTGTATTTTAATGCATGTATACGTTATAATGTTATATCAGGGTCGGCAGTAGCTCAGTCTGTAGGGACATGGCTTGGGAACTGAAGGGTCAACGGTTCAAGTCCCGATCAAACCAAACATACAGAGTGTGTGTCCCTGGGCCACATCACTAATTTAGTAACGTGTATTTGTTTATAGTGTCGTGGACTGTCCCCATTAATCAACTGTCACAAAAAACAGGACATGGGGAAGCTTTAGCCAACATTGCTAATTTCCAGCTGATAATAGAGACCCTTAAAATCACAATACATTAACAGCATTAGTTACAAAGAAAGGATGAAAGACAAGTAGATACAGGCGAAAGGATAAAAGTGAACAATAACATGCAAACAACACACGTTACTACATACATATAGCACATCACAATCACATAACAGAAACGAGGGGCAACATCCATGATCACAACATCTAACACACACGCCATATCCAACACAGACTAGTGTGTGCAGGTGTGGTTCTCAGAGATTTACACCGTTACACAGGGACAGAATAAGATTGAAACACAGAGAGACACAATGCAGACAGGACTCACACCATGACATTTTCCACACACTGATATACGGATGGACTCACAGAGTGAAGTTCTCCGCGGGGTAGCAGCGGTTCCTCAGAAGCCCCGCCCACAGCTGCACGCCGATGATGCCGAAGATGAAGAAGACGAAAAAGCAGAGGAGGAGGACGTTCCCCAGCATGGGCAGCGTGTCCAGCAGCAGATTCACCAGGATGCGCATACCTGAGGACACACACAGGAAAACACTTACTGTATTTCAGCAGGAGAGGACTCTTTAAAGTAGAGACGCTACATACTGATATACACCTGAACATCAGCAGGAGAGGACTCTTTAAAGTAGAGACACTACATACTGATATACACCTGAACATCAGCAGGAGAGGACTCTTTAAAGTAGAGACACTACATACTGATATACACCTGAACATCAGCAGGAGAGGACTCTTTAAAGTAGAGACACTACATACTGATATACACCTGAACATCAGCAGGAGAGGACTCTTTAAAGTAGAGACACTACATACTGATATACACCTGAACATCAGCAGGAGAGGACTCTTTAAAGTAGAGACACTACACACTGATATACACCTGAACATTAGCAGGAGAGGACTCTTTAAAGTAGAGACACTACATACTGATATAGACCTGAACATAAGCAGGAGAGGACTCTTTAAAGTAGAGACACTACATACTGATATACACCTGAACATCAGCTGGAGAGGACTCTTTAAAGTAGATACACTACATACTGATATACACCTGAACATCAGGAGGAGAGGACTCTTTAAAGTAGAGACACTACATACTGATATGCACCTGAACATCAGCAGGAGAGGACTCTTTAAAGTAGAGACACTACATACTGATATACACCTGAACATCAGCAGGAGAGGACTCTTTAAAGTAGAGACACTACATACTGATATACACCTGAACATCAACAGGAGAGGACTCTTTAAAGTAGAGACACTACATACTGATATACACCTGAACATCAGCAGGAGAGGACTCTTTAAAGTAGAGACACTACATACTGATATACACCTGAACATCAGCAGGAGAGGACTCTTTAAAGTAGAGACACTACATACTGATATACACCTGAACATCAACAGGAGAGGACTCTTTAAAGTAGAGACACTACATACTGATATACACCTGAACATCAGCAGGAGAGGACTCTTTAAAGTAGAGACACTACATACTGATATACACCTGAACATCAGCAGGAGAGGACTCTTTAAAGTAGAGACACTACATACTGATATACACCTGAACATCAACAGGAGAGGACTCTTTAAAGTAGAGACACTACATACTGATATACACCTGAACATCAGCAGGAGAGGACTCTTTAAAGTAGAGACACTACATACTGATATACACCTGAACATCAGCAGGAGAGGACTCTTTAAAGTAGAGACACTACATACTGATATACAACTGAAAATGAGCAGAATAGGGCCATACCAGCTTCTGCTTTAAGCTCTTTTTAAAGATACATAAAGAAATATATATATAAATATATTCAGAATTGTCACATGGATGTTATCATAGATTGAATAATAGATGAGCATTCAAATCAAATCAAATCAAGTTTTATTTATATAGCACTTTTAAAACGATTTTTGGTCGAGCCAAAGTGCTGTACATACAATAAAAACAATTTACAACAAATACAACAGCACAAATAAAAAAATCACACACAGGGAAATGTCAGGAGTCGTGCTCCGCTCAGACTAGAAGGCCAGGGAGAAGAAGTGAGTTTTAAGTGAGGATTTAAAAACCCCTAGGGTCTGGGCCGACCTCACGTGGAGGGGCAGAGTGTTCCAGAGCCTGGGGCCAGCTCGGTCTTGCTCTCGTTGAGGGTGAGGAAGTTTTGGCTCAGCCAGGATTTAATCTCTGTTAAGCAGTCCTTCAACTGCTGTAGTGAGTTGGCATTTTGATTGAGAGGCAGATAGATCTGTACATCGTCAGCGTAACAATGGAAGGGGATATTGCGTTTAGTGAGAATTGAACCTAGGGGCAGTATTTACAGTAGAAAAAGGATGGGGCCCAGAATCGAGCCTTGGGGAACCCCACAGGTAAGAGGGGCTTTGGCAGAGGAGAAGACACCTAGCTGCACTGAGAAGCTACGGTCTGTCAGGTAGGACCTGAACCATGCAAGGGCAGAGCCTGTGATGCCAGCGGACTGTTCAAGCCGTGACAACAGGATGCTATGGTCCACAGTGTCAAAGGCAGCAGTCAGGTCTAAGAGCACCAAGACAGCTGGGCTACCTGAGTCGGCGGCTTAAAAACTCTTAAAAGGGCTGTTTCAGTGCTGTGCATGGGTTTGAAGCCAGACTGAAACTTTTCATGGATGCCATGTGTGGTTAAAAAAGACTGCAGCTGTGCGTAGACTACTCGCTCCAGGACTTTAGATAAAAAATGTAGCTGGGAGATGGGCCTAAAATGTGCGAGAATGGAAGGGTCGAGATTTTTCTTTTTAAGTAGTGGCTTAACCAAGGCATGTTTGAAGGCAGCTGGGACACATCCTGAGCTAAGAGAGGTGTTTACAAGCAATAAAACACTTGCTCCAACTGATTCTAAAACATCTCTGAGAAGGCGAGAGGGAATGCTGTTAATTAATCAGTTTATTCTTCTCAAAAGCTTTTCCTTTGCTTGTTTTTCTTCAGAAAACAATATTTGAAATCATTAGGACATTTGGCATTACCCCCGGGGTGAGGACTGAGGACCGCCTGCCCACTTATCCCTGATTACTCAGCTAAACGCTGCATCAGTCCTCCATCTCTTCCTCTGATGGAGTTTAACCCCTGCTTTGGTTTCCTCACACAGATCAGAGCCAGAGTAATGGCCCATGGGATCACAATTAGCATGGAGATTAGAGATTGATTAGCTAATTATGATAATACAGCGGCTTATATGGAAATGCGTGATGGTACATCTCTGCAGGGAGTGGGAGGACGAGAGAGTTTGTGTAAAGGAGGAAATTAAGTGTTAAGATGAGACATTATTGTCTATTTGCATGAGTGCATATTTTGTACAGATGCTTATGTATGTGTATTTGTGTACAACCATTAACTAAAGTGACGTTTATACATATATCAGATTTCAATGAGGCAATTTTAAAAGACATTCAAAGCATGAGAAGATATAGTGCAAAATAAGCGCATTAAACATTAATTTAAATACATTTAACATTAAAAAGCCAGGAGAATACAAACTAAAACAAGCTTATAAAAGTTACAGTTCAATATATGTGTCACGATATTCATGTTATGTCACGTTTTGATGTCTTGTTTTGGGTGTTTTGCTGTTCTCCCTGTCTTGTTTTCCTCCTGGTTTCTTGTCTGGTCCTTTTCCCTGTGTTTTTCCTCCTGTCGTTAGTTTCCCTGGTGTGTCTAGTTGTCTGATTGTGTTCACCTGTGGCCCTTGTGTTTCTCCTCCCCTGCACGGCTGTTGCTCGTCTTGTGATTATTGTACTGTATTTAATAAATAATAATAATGCATTTTATTTATATAGCGCTTTTCACAACTCAAAGATGCTTTACAGTATGAGGGAGGGTCGACAAACAAGGACAGGCAAACAAGTAAGTATAGTAAAATAAAAAAAATAAAAAGGCAGTCAAGAGGAAGTTGATTGAGGGGGGGGGGGGCTCTAGTCTTTAGTCTTTTTAGTCTTTAGTATTTAGTCTTGTCTCTTCCTGTGTTCAGTGTTGGTTCGTCTTTTGTTTGTGACTGAGTTCACCGGTGAGTTTTCTGTTTTGTCCAAGTTGTCTAGATTATCCTTGAAACAAAGGCATTTTCAGCATTATCTGCATTTGGGTCCTGCTTGCTTCACTCACCGTAACAATATGTTATAATTCGTTTTTTTATTTAACGGCAAAAAGACAAGATGAAAAAAAGATGGAACAATGGGAATATTTTCCTGTTCCAAAATACATTTTCTTCTTGTTGTGAACTTTGGATTTAAAGGTGAATTGGAGAGGAAAATAATTCAATTTTTAAAAATAAACAGCCAGCGAGGAGGTTATTCCTTTGGTTCAGTTCATTTATTTGTCTGCAAGTATACAGACACACCACTCGCCCAATTCTCATGGAAGTTGGTGGAAATGTGAAGCATGGGCCAAGGACGAAGAAATTACATTTTAGAGCAGATACACAACTTATTTCCCCTTTTGTGAACATTCTAACAAAGGGTATGGCCTTGGAGGACGTTATGTTTCCAGCTCTGTTTATCAGTAGGATTTCGAAAATATGTTGTAACCTGATTTTAAAGAAACTTGATGAAAGGATGTCGCTTGGCCCAGAGAACATGACATGTTTGCAACAGACTTGAATAACTGGGCAGATAAACAAGTGTTTTGTTAAGAAACATATGTTATACCCTTCGTCTCTCATCCTTTTAGTTTAAACACAGATGAGATAAACACCTTCATGATATTTGGTGAATTAAAAGCTGACCGGACGTTTGATTTAATATTTGATAGGACATTTCTAAACATCTAAAGTGTTTCCTATTGATTGACATTGGAAAAAAGTTGCCTAAAATTGCCTTGTGTTGAAAGGTGCTATATCAATAAACGTGCCACGCCTCGCCACGCCTCGCCACGCCTCGCCACGCCTCGCCACGCCTCGCCACGCCTCGCCACGCCTCGTCACGCCTCGTGTCGTCTTGCCTTGCCTCGTCTCACTTTGCCTTGCCTCCAAGCCCGCCTTAACCTGCCATCAGCCCCAGGGCCTGATGGCAGGTTAAGGCGTTTTGTAGGCCCCCTATTTAAACAACAAATCAAAGTCATTTATAGCGTTTGGATTACTGGTCTGGGGGAAGCGATTGTGTGTGTATACGTGTGTGTGTTTGTGTATTTTTGCGTTTGTGTGTGTTGCGTTTTTTTTCCCGGGGGAAAACCCTCACGAGAAACACCGGCTGTTGTTATGCCTGCTGTGACGTCAAGTTACTCCGTTCTCCGCTTGTAATTATACCGAAGCTTCAAAGTTGTATTCATCATCTGAATTTGCCGAAACAAGTTTAATATTCTGAAAGCCAAGGCTTTGTTTATTTGAAACCAGATGAAAACAAACTGTAACGGACCCTGCCGTGTTATCTATGATTACTCTACGCCTTACATTCATAATTTCAGCGGAGGGAGGGGAACAGCAGAGTGGCGAGGGAGAGCTGTCTTCTTCCCTTTACAAGCTTCAAAAATGTATTTATCGTG